TTACACTTAATTGGGAACTCTTTTAAGACACAATATATATTTTTTTTAAATTTCACATTCAAATCTTTAATTTACCTAATATTTAATTTGGTTTAAGGAGATAGGCAGAAATTCAGCTTAGTATTTTTCTAAATGGTGAGGTAGCCAGTTGCTCCAACTCTATTCACTGAGTTATCCGTCCTTCCCACTGTGACTTGAAGTGTCACCTGTACTAGCTATTGTTTTCTCTGCCCACCGCCCCTTCTCTGTCTTCTAAAAAACCAAAATTCTATATCCTGCCCACCGGGTAGGAAATGGACTCAAGCTGGACTAATCAGAACCCTTCCCAGGGATTTTTCTTTTTGTTTTTCTTCTTTTTAAGTTTTTTTAAAAAACAGGTTTAGGGGGTATGAGTTGAATTCCATTACATGTATATATTGTAGTAAGATAATGGTGGAGTCTGGGCTTTTGGTGTACCCATCACCCAAGTAGTATGCATTGTACCCCATAGGTAATTTTCATTCCTCATCCTCTCCCGCCCTCCCCCCTTGTGAATCTCCAGTGTCCCTTATACCACTTTGTGTGTCCCTGTGGAGCTAAACTCTGGCTACATATGAAGCGTTTGTTTTTCTGTTCCTGAGTTACTTCACTTAGGATAATGGCCTCCAGTGTTAACCAAGTTGCTGCAAAAGACATTATTTCATTCTTTTGTATCACTGAGTAGTACTCCATGGTGTATATATACGACATTTCTTTATCCATTTGTCAGTTGATGGGCACTTAGGTTGATTCTTTATCTTTGCAATTGTGAATTGTGCTGCAATAAACATATGAGTGCAGGTATCTTTTTGATATGATGATTTCTTTTCCTCTGGGTAGATACCCAATAGTGGGATTGCAGGATCAAATGGTAGATCTACTTTTAGTTCTTTGAGATATCGCCATACTGACCTCCACAGAGGTTGTACTAATTTACATTCCCACCAATAGTGTGTTAGTGTTCCCTTTCCACCACATCCACACCAACATCTATTGTTTTTTTTTTTGACTTTTTAGTAATGGCCATTCTAATTGGAGTAAGATGGTATCTTGTTGTGGTTTTAATTTGCATTTCCCTGGTGATTAGTGATATTGAGCATTTTTTATATGTTTCTTGGCCATTTGTATATCTTCTTTTGAAAAATGCCTGTGCATGTCATTTGTCCTCTCTTTAATGAGGTTGTTTTATTTTTTTCTTGCTGAGTTGTGTGAGTTCCTTGTCGATTCTAGATATTGGTCCTTTGTTGGACACACAGTTTGTGAATATTTTCTCCCATTCTGTAGGTTGTCTATTAACTCTTTTGATTATTTCTTCTGTTGTGTAGAAAGAAGCTTGTAGTTTAATTGGGTTCCATTTGTCTATTTTTGTTTTTATCACATGTGCTTTTGGTATCTTAGTCATAAATTCTTTGTCTATTTTAATCCAAAAGAATGACTTTAATGGTAGGAATTTCAGATGCCCATGACAGGACAGGGGAGGAGGTCATTTTGGGCTGGGGAAGCTTCTTGATGGTTTCAAAGAGGCTCTCCCCATGGCTCCTGATTGTGCCTACCCCTTAGGGCCGCCTTGCCCACACTCATGGTCACAGCCCACACACCCTGTTCTTTCCACTCCCTGCAGAGAATCGCAGCATCAGAGCTGACTCCAGGCCTCCAGTATTTTGGCTGCAGCATCCACGGGCAACTGGACCTCAATGAGGATGGGCTCATCGACCTGGCAGTGGGCGCCCTTGGCAACGCTGTGATTCTGTGGTTGGTTTCCCCACTTCTCCTGACCTGAGGGTCATGATGGATACAGGATTTAAAAGATATGCTTCAGGGCTGGGTGCGGTGGCTCAGGCCTATAATCCTAGAACTTTGGGAGGCCAAGGTGGGAGGTTCAAGTCTGAGACCAGCCTGGGCAATACTGAAACCTCTTCTCCACAAAAAACTTAAAAATTAGCCGGGCTTCGTAGTACGTGCCTGTAGTCCCAGATACTTGGGAGGCTGAGGCAGGAGGATCACTTGAGCCCAGGAGTTTGAGGCTGCAGTGAGCTACGATGACGCCACTGCACTCTAGCCTGGGTGACAGAGCAAGACTCTGTCTCCAAAAACAAAAGGCAACAAAAGATATACTTCAGGGTTTTTTTTTCTCTGTTTTTAACCATCAACAGCCAAACTCACACTGTTCTTATTCCATGTTGATTACAAATTTCCTTTTCATAGAATCACTATAAATTATCTTGAAGTCCTGTCCAAAAAGACTTTGAATTTGCCCTAAAAGTTCTGGCTAGGTGGGCATTTCTTCCACTTCAACTTTTCGAGGTACTTAGAGGAACAAGTGGGTCATACTTTTAGCAGCTGGGAGGACCTTCCCCTGACTCCTGCGGGGAGGAATGCATGTGTAATACAGAGATTGCTTTCTGCCAAAGCCCCTCTGATGCCTCCTTTCCTTTATTCAGGACCTTATTTTAATGCTAAGAGCCCATATATTTTACCAACCGTTGGCTACTTTTTGAGCCAAAAAAATGTTGAGCTTTTCTTCACATATGTTGATGAGATATTTTTCATCATAAATACAATAACTTAAAGAAAATTTGCGAAATAAAAAAAAAACCTCAGCATTCCATCACCTTAACAACAGCACTATTAACGTTTTGGCATATTTCCTCCCAATTTTGTTTCTTACCTGCTTATAATTTTACATAAATGCAATCATACTTTTCATACGACTTTGCAAAGGCTTGAAACAGAGATATATGATCTCGCAGGGAGAACAAAGGAGGGATGTGCTCCTGGTCCTCAAGAATATTACAGTCCAGCGGGGAAACGTCTTTGTCCAGGTGCCCTAGAAAACAGGGCCTAGGGCGAAAGCCTCTGCGTGCACGCTTTGGGAGGGGGTTCAGGCCCGGAAGCAGGAGGGAAGCAGGGAAGGAGGAGGGCAGATGCTGAGGGACCTGCCTCACAGTAAGAGCAGCTCCTGGCTCAGCATCTCAGACTCCCCAGAGCAGCGGCGGCAGGAAACAGCCTGCTGTAGTGAGGAAGGGCGGCCGCAGACTTGCTGGCTCCTCCAGATCCCCTGCTTGTCACGGCCAAACATCTGCTGCCCCGAACTGCCAGGGCTGCACCGGGAAGCCAGGGTCTCTGCAGGTCCAGCCCTGCCAGCACCTGGAGGCATCGTCTGTCTCTCTTCAAAGGTCTGCGCTGCGTGTGGGGGCTCTTAGGTCTTTGGTGTTTGTAGCAGCAGGAAAAGCAGCCTGGGCTTGAAAGGCACAGTAAAGGTATTCACTGTGCTGGTTCCAGCCAAGAAAGCGAGAAAGCGACCATGGCACAGGGCAGGGGGTGGACATAGCCTGGCAGGTCTTTAAGGTGACGTGTAAACTTCTTTCCAGGAAACAAGACACACACGTGCACACACGCACCCCAAGACACTCAGTGTCACAAAGGGATTTGACCAAGCGCTAGCTTCTGAAGTCTAGACCTACGTGCTGCTACATAGTGATGAAATCGTGGGCCAGAGGCCTCGGGGAAGACTTTATGGTCACACTGAGGAGCTTTTAAAACATCATTGCCCAGGCTTTACCCAGACCAATTAAAACTGAATTCTGTGGGAGAGACCCAGGCAGCAGTTAAAAGTCCCCAGGCGATTCCAGTGGAGAACCACTGACGTAAGCTATTATGTTCGCACAGCGCTCTACACTGTCAGAAGTGTCCTCGCTCACCTGCTTGACTCTCTTGGGCCCCCGTCATATGACCTGCCAAGGTACAGTGAGAACCAGTGGTCTCAAGGCTCAGATCTCCCCCTCCGCTCTCCAGCACAGAGGCCCTGCCACCCTTGTGCTAAGAACAGAGTATCGGCACAAATAGTCACCTTGAAACTCCAAAACATCTAACTCATACTACTTCTATTCTTTTTGTATAATTTCATGGTTTGAAGAGGCAATAAATTTCCTTTCCTAATGAGGTTCGACTTAGATCAACATAAGGGTAAATTCGTACTTCCTTGGCCGCCTGGATGGGGCAGTGTTGGGGAGGATGGCGGGGAATCTCTAGAGCAGTGGCTGACACCGGAACCACCTGGGAGATCAGTGCCTTGCTCTTGGAAGTGTGGTCCGTGGACTGTCCACGTGGGCATCACTCGACAGCTGGGTAGAGATGCAGAACCTGGGCCAACCCTTTGGGGGTCAGAATCTGCATTTTAATGCAATCAGGGGGTGTGCAGAGATGTTGACATTCGAGCACTGCTTAAAACATGCAATGCTTGATTCTGATTTAATTTGGCTGAGGGACAGCTTAGGCGTCAGGAGCTTTTTAAAGCTCTTCAGATGGTTGGAATACACACCCAGGGCTGGGAGCCACTGCTGTCAAAGGTGTTGAGGGGCAAGAGGTGCACAGCGTGAACAGGAACTGGGAAAATGAGGAGGGGCTTCCTCGGGGGCTGTGGCGTGGCCAAGCCCTCATCCCCCTGTGCTGTTTGGCCAATTCCCTGCCAGCCAGAGCCCCTTTCTGCCCCCATCCCACCCTCCAGCGGTGGCTTTGCAGACCCCACTGCTGCCTAGTTCCACCCCTCCCCGTGGCCACGGCAGGGCAGCCTGAGCCCCTGCCCGCCCGGCTCACTGGCCCTTCTCCTCCAGGTCCCGCCCCGTGGTTCAGATCAGTGCCAGCCTCCACTTCGAGCCATCCAAGATCAACATCTTCCACAGGGACTGCAAGCGCAGCGGCAGGGACGCCACCTGCCTGGCCGCCTTCCTCTGCTTCACTGCCGTCTTCCTGGCACCGCATTTCCAAACGACAACTGTTGGTAAACCAGGCCCCCCCACAACCCAGCTTCAATCTCCCCCCTGGACTTTGCAGTCACTCTGTGTCAAAGCCTGGGCTTTCCCTGAAGCGGGGACTAAAGTGCTGGGTCACCCTAGCATGATGACTTTGATGACTGCTGAATGCCCATTTGATGTTCTACTTCCAAGGGGCAAAGAGGGGGTGTCATGCCAGGGTGAGGGTGGCAGTGAGCAGGGGTGACCAAGGAGGGAGAGGATGGGAGAAAAGGGAAACAGCCCAAGTGCAGAGTTCGGATCAGGAGGCAGTGGAGCAAGTGGAGTGTGGAAGCCCAGCAGTCGGGCTGGACACAGGAAGAGCAGGAGCCAGGCGTCCAGCAGAGGGGAGCTGGGAACCAGGAGGCCAGGCCAGTGAGGCCCCAGGAGCAGAGGTCGCTGCTCAGAAGTGGGTGTGAGTCTGTGGCAGGGCACTTTCCCTCTGAGGGTCCATCCCTTCCAGCTAAGCTAGAGTCAGACACCTGTTCACAACAGCCCTGGGCCCAGGCAGCCCTAGGAAGTGACAGCTGCGGGTTCCAGGACCTGACTGGGCCAGCACAGGGAATGGGACTGCGGGTGGCATCCCCGCCAGGAGCAGTGCCAGACAGAGAAGAGAAGGGTGTCCCAGGGAAGACGAAAACAAAGGCAGGCCTGGGTGGCTATGCCCTTCTCTTTCAACATCTGCACATGGGAGGAGAAAGATCCCAGGGTGGAGCACCCAGGCGGTTGGGTGGGTACAGGAGAAGGGACCAAGGCTCTCCTGGAATTGGCAAAAAGCTGTCCTGGTTGAAGGGAGGAGGTTTCAGGCCTAACGCCCCAGAACCGAGTCATATGTTTGAGGAGCTGGCAGGACGGGCCTGGCCAGCCCTCGCTAGTGGGAGAGGAGCCACCACGGCAGAGGCCCTGACCAGCCCTGACAGGGACCCCAAGGCCGGGACAAGGAAGGTGATGGGAGGGTGGAGAGGGTGTTGACACCAGCAGAGGCTCGATGTAGCACCACCCTTGTCTTGTCCCCTCTCCTCCTCTACGGCAGGGCTGTCCCTTTCTTCCTCCTCTCTTTCTCCACGCCTCTCTCTGCTCTTCGCTTCTGTCCTCCCCCCTTTCTCACGCCCACACTGGCCCTGTGAGGGGAGAAGAGCAGCTCTTCACTGGCCAGCCTGGGGGGCTTCCTGGAGGAGGCAGACTTCTCAGAGGCTATCTTAAAAGAGAGGCTAACAGTCTTGTCTTGGGTGGGACTGTGGCTCCACTTTCGTGGTCTGGTCGTCTCCCTCCCCCAGGCATCAGATACAACGCCACCATGGACGAGAGGCGGTACACGCCCAGGGCCCACCTGGATGAGGGCGGGGACCGATTCGCCAACAGAGCTGTCCTGCTGTCCTCCGGCCAGGAGCACTGCGAGCGGATCAACTTCCACGTCCTGGTGAGCCTGGAAGCCCCACGGGCAGAGCCCAGGCTCCTGCAGGAAGGGGTCCGGCGCCTGCTCTAGGAGAGTCCGGCTGGAGCCAGGCTGGTTCTGAGCTCCAGCGGCCCTCGGGAGGCCAGTGGGGTCAGTGTTCCGGACCTCGGCCATCCCAGGCCCCACCCTATGCTCCAGAGAGAGACCCCTGGGACACACTGCTTAACACCTCGCTGCACCACCCCCCTCCAAAACCCCCTCCTCCCCAGCTCTCAGATGCTCAGGGGAGGGAGGTGGGCGTGGTGCGGTCTAGCGGAGAGAACTGGGGCGGTGAGCAGGGCGCGCGGCTCTAAGGGAGGGACAAGTGGGCCTCAGCTGAAGACAAAGACCAGGTGAGGTGGACAGTGCATGGACAACCTGGGAGGGGGAACAGAGACGGGGACCAGTAGTGTCATGAGCAGGTGCCCTGTTTTATGGCTAAGGAAGAGGATGAGAAGTTTGATTCCATCCAGAAACACCAGATACACAGGTCATAGCTCTTGCATCAGAGACACAAGCAGCGGGCACTCAGAGCCCACCTGGCCCCAGCTGTTCAGTGGCCAGAGGCCAGAGACACGAGCAGGCGGGAAGCCCGCAGGTCTGTTCATGCGGGCTTCTCATGTTAACACGATGCGTGTGTGCAGTGGTTCTCACACCGTGGTCCTACACCAGTAGCAACCTTGTCACCTGGTGACCTGGTGGAAATGTGCATGTTCCAGCCCCATCCCAGACCCGCTGACTCAGAAACTCTGGGGGCGAGGCCAGCACCCCACGTGTTAATAGGCCCCCAGGGGATTCCGATGTCAGCCCAGGTTTGAGAGCCACTGCCGTAATACAAACAAGCCGCTCGTGTCAGGGCTCGCAGGTTCTGGGGGAGATTTTTAAACAGGTCGGAGCACCCCCTTCATCGACCGTGTATGCTCAGGACCGTCCTGTCTGTTCAGTCATCAGTTCAACATTGTTCAGCCTCATCACAGTGGCAGGACTGTGCTAAGAGGCTTCTGGTGTATTCCTTGCTGGGGAGGGAAGACTGACACACAGGAAGATGGTTCGGATGCTACGTGAAGCAGTGGCGGTCACAGGTCTGAGGGTGCGGGGGTGTGGCGGGGGCCGGGGCGGTGCTGCCAGGCTTCCTGGAGGCCGAGGTAAGGAGTGATGGGAGCCTGGCCCCAAGGATGAGCAGGAGCTTGGTGACACAGCCAGGAAGCTGGGCTGGCATAAGCTGGGCCAAGGGGCCCTTTGCTCGGGGCACATTCTCTACCCACCTACACACCCCACGGGGACCCTGCACCCGCCGCAGACTCATCCTGATGGCCGACAGGGCAGCTGCCCACTCCCCCGCCTAGGAGAGGTCGAAGTTCTAGCTCAGCGTCTGTGGTCCTGGCCCAGAAAATGATGTTCTCTCCTCTCTCACCCCTGCCCTCCTCTACCCCACAGGACACCGCTGACTACGTGAAGCCGGTGACCTTCCTGGTTGAGTATTCCCTGGAGGACCCGGACCACGGCCCCGTGCTGGACGAAGGCTGGCCCACTACCCTCAGAGTCTCGGTACGTCCTGGCATGCAGGCCACACGCCCCGGCACGTCCCCCCCTCGACCCCTACCTTTCCCCAAAGCCCAGACCCACCTGCCACTCCTTCCCACCGCCGTCCCAGCAAACCCTCGCGTGGCTCCCTCCCCTACCGTGGCCCACGCTGGGGATTAGCTGGACGATTCCAGGAGGGTAAGGACCAGGCTTCTCGGGAGCGCTGAGTGGGTGCTGGAGAGATGCAGAGAACCACAGGCCAGCAGGGACCTGAGTTCCCAGGCACCCACCTCCCTCCTTCACAGACGCCAGGGCTGTGCCGGGAGAGCAGGCGAAATTTATGAAGTGGGAAGTCTAATGCCTGGGGCCTTGGGGATTTAGGAAACAACTTCGACATACAGCGCTGTGCTCTTACGCCCTGAGCCCTGAGATGCAGTCACTGAGCTCTGTGAGTGGCACGAGTCCAGCCAGCAAAGGATGGCAGGATTACCCCCGTTCTTACTTGCAGTTTTCCCCGACACCATGCAAGGACTGCAGGGGCCACAGCAGTGCCTGGGAACCCGCTTCTCTGATTCGTGCCCATCACCCCACACCTCCCACGCTGCTCCGCCCTTCACACCTCCCCCTTTTCCCTGAGTCCGCATCGCTGGCTGGCAGAGCAGGGTCCCTCCTTAGTGCGCCAGGAGAGGGGAAACGCTGGGCACACGAAGTCACCTTTTTTCCTATCGTGGTAATTGCAAAGTGGCCATAGCGAATGAATGAGCACCTGCCACTCGTTCTACAAGCGTGTTGGAGCCAGCGGTGCAGACTGACGTGCAGGGTAATCCCCACTCTGACGCTGGGGATCTCCAGGCAAGGAGGCGACGACGTCACAGGCCAGGCAGCAGCAGCGTGCACGCAGAGGAAGTATAATCGAGCAATCAGTGGTAGTGCAGGGGACCTTCCTGGAGGAGGTGGCTTTTGGCTGGATGTTAAGGGGTAGACAGGATTCGGACAGGCAGAGATGGGGAGGATGGGCTTCTGTTCCCGGAGAGCTGACAGTGTCGCCAAGGCAGGAAATGGGAAGGGCAGGGTGAAGGGCTACATAAAGAAGAGGTGAGAAATGGAGCTGAAAGAGTTTGCGGCATAATATGGAGGGCTTGGGGAGCAGCTAAGTTCCTAAAACTTTTGTTCGTTGGGATTTCTAGCCCCTTGCAAATGAGATACGTTCTTCCCATCACTCCACAAATTCTTACTTAGCCTCTGCTAAACGCCCAGCACTGTGCCAATACCGTAGTATCCGGCCTCTTGGAAACTAAGCCTTTCCATATAATCAAGTGTAGCAGTTGCTTGTTACGTCAAATTCTTTCTTTTAATCAGCTGGATAGGAATTTTTCTGAAGGCTGTTATAGAGTTCTCAAACTGCCTAGACAGCGTGCTGGCTGGAACAGGGAGTACTTCACTAGGGACTCGAACTCGCCAGCATGGACTTCGGTGCTAGGCTCCCATCTCTAACTATGCCCCTTCCTGAGTGGCCCCGCCCTGCCCGCTGTGTGGCTTTGCTGTCCCGTGTGCCCGTGGCTGCTGCAGCTGCAGGTCCACCACGCGGAGGGGAGGCCGGGGGCGAGCTGGACAGAACCGTGCTGAAGTCCTGGCACGCAGGTCTAGGGGAGCGGGGGAGCTCTCCTTTGAGAAAAGTTAATGAATTTAAGATACCAGTGGCTTTGTGAAACCTGTTTCCCACCCCTGGGTTTGGCCTGTGTTCTTGGTAGTGACAGTCACTGTCCCTCAGCTCCAGGCTTGAATATGCAGCCGCCTGCCGAGCACGTCACCCCAGACCGAACCCCTCAACTCAGCCCCTGCATTTATAAATTAATGACATCGCCATCCTTCCAGGCACCTGAAAAAGAAACTGGGCCGACACCCTGGACCCCTTCTCCCTTAGCCCTGACAACCTCCAGGTCCTATTAATCCTACCTCTGAGGTCTGGAACCTGGTCTGTCCTCTCCACGCCCACTATCCCCCAACACCAGCGCACCCCTCACCTGGATGACGCAGCAGCCTCCTCAGTGGTCTCCCTGCCTCTGGCTTCCACCCTTCCAGTCCCTGTTCCCACAGCAGCCAGAGGGAGCCTTCTGCGTGCAGGTCTAGCAGGACACTCTCTGCCTAAAGATTCGGTGACCTTTATCAGCTGCAAGGCATGACCCCACGGCCCTGTAAGCACTGGCCCCTGCCCATCTCTTCGTTTCCTCCACCCCTGCGTCTCTTACACAGCAACACTGAACTGCCCGTCACCTCCCAAACTCACCATGCCGCTTCTGCCCCAGGACCTTTGCATAGGCTCGTCCTTCCTCCTGGACTTCCCTCTCCCCCTGGCCACCCAGCTAACTTGATCTTCCTTCAGAATGATGACCTACTGTCACTGCCTTGAAGCTGTCTCTGACTACGTACAGGCCAAAATGTAACAACTGTTTCTCTCTCTGACTCTTCTATTCCTCATACACACAAGGTTCTTTTTCGGTCTTTTGCACATTTCACACTGTAGTTATTCGCTCACACCCTAATCTCCTCCATAAGCTGAGAGCAGAAGCTGTGTCTTTCTCATCTGGTATCCCCAATACCAAAGACCTGGCCCCACACACAGGAGATGATGGTAAATATTGACCAGAGCTGCTCTGCGGGTGAGTGGGGAGCTCTGCTACCAGCTCAGTTCAGAACTGGAGGGGACCCAGGAGGAGCTGAGTTTTGAGCCACATTTTAAAGAGGGAATTATCTATGCAAAAGCACAAGAAAAAGCAGCGTGGTGTCTGGGAAGGGGCAGGAATGACAGTAGAGGCAGAAGCCAGTGTGCTTTGGGGGTGAGGGGCCCGCAGCAAAGACAAGGGCTGGAGGCTGCGGGTCCCCAGCCAGCCGCCCACACCTGGCTCTCCCTGGCCCAGGTGCCCTTCTGGAACGGCTGCAACGAGGACGAGCACTGTGTCCCTGATCTCGTGCTGGACGCCCGGAGTGACCTGCCCACAGCCATGTGAGTTGGCTCCTTCCACATCCCTGCTCCTGGCCTGGGGTCCCGGGGCCCTGGCCTGTTTCCTGCACAGCCTCCTCACAGGCAGCACGGGTCAGACACTGAACTTGGAGTCTGGGTCTAGCCCAGGCTTTGCCTCTAGCTCCCATGTGACCTAAGGACAGTCCTCTCCCCTGGCTGGGCCTCAGTCACCTCCTCTGCAAAATGAATACTACTAAGTCTAATCAAATCTCCACAAATTTTCTTTAGAAAAACAACCTTTCCTTTGGAGCCACACTGCAAAACAGAGGGAAGGTACAGACAGGGGGCTTGAAGTTCTGAGTGCCTGTCCTCCAAGCCCCAGATGAGGTGACCTCGCTGGCTGCATGCCTGGGCTTTCCAGTCCTTGTGAGGGAAGAATGCCAAGGGGATGAGCAGAGGATGAGCAGGGGACCCACAATCCCCAGGAAGAAACAAACTAGCGTCTAAGGAAAAATAAGGAACATCATGTTCAATTTATGTAATATATATTTTCAATAATTTATGCTCAACTTTTATCCAAGTATGAGAAGATTTAGATAGAAGACATATATTCCATGACATAGACAATAAACAAAAATAGCACATCCAACCCTTGCAGAAGGATAATGAAGCAGATATTCTAACCATCTAGCCTAGTAATCAGCATTATCTCCATTAATACATTTAGCTCTGAGCTTCCTGGCAGCCAAGGCCAAAAAGGAAACATAACAAGTGGAGTGATGCATGGGTAATGAGGTCAAATAAGAGGCTGTGATCTCTACGGTGGGAAGGCTGGGGCTTTGGGGACAGGAAGTGATCTTGAAGGGGGAGCTCTTTCCAGCCCTGCCACCCATCTCCCTCTTCTCCCAGTGGCTGTTCCCATGAGCAGAGGCCAGCCAAGTACCCCTGACCACCTCTCTGCCCCAACCCTGGGGGTCCGCTTCGCCCCTGCGTTCCCCATTCCACCTGCCTGATCCTGGCGGCGCTTTCGCAGGGAGTACTGCCAGAGGGTGCTGAGGAGGCCGGCGCAGGACTGCTCCGCGTACACGCTGTCCTTTGACACCACAGTTTTCATCATAGAGAGCATGCGCCGGCGGGTGGCGGTGGAGGCCACGCTGGAGAACAGGGGCGAGAACGCCTACAGCACCGTCCTCAATATCTCCCAGTCCGCAAACCTGCAGTTTGCCAGCCTGATCCAGAGGGTAAGACCTCAGCGCCCCACCCAGCCTGCCTGACACAGAAGGAAAGGAGGGACCCTGGCTGCTCCCTGGAAATCAGCTGGGGAGCGAATTCCTGACGTCCCCCTGAGGTCCTGATTGATTTAGTCTGGGCCGGGGCCCAGCAGCAGGAGGCTTTTAAAGCTCCCCAGGGATTTCAGGATGCGGCCGGGGCTGAGAGCCGCTGGCTGGGCGAGCCTGAGCGCTCAGGGACACAGGGAAGAATGTCCTTCAGCCCTGTCCTTGGCCCTGGTTGGGGCGCCTATACGCACCTACCTGCAGGCCACCCCCACGCGTGCTCAGCAGGGCCTTCTGACAAGAATGAGAACTGGCTGCTCCCCGCCTTGTAACTTCTGGTCATTCCCAGCTGCTGTCTCAACCAATTCTAGACTCTTCCCTGTGGCATTCAAGGCCCGTCTCACCCACCACCTGCCGCTTCTCCCCTTACCACCCCCCACAGGTCACTGCTGGTTCCCACCATGGCCCCTACCTGGCACTCCCTCTCTCCTCTGCCGGACAAGCTTCTGGTCCTACTTGGTGACTGTCCACATGCTGCCCACTTACCGCGTCCAAGCACTGTGCTAACACTAGACATGCATTTAGCCCTTCCCACAGTGTCCGGAGGCAGTGGTGATCCTGACGGTAGCAGTGGTGGTGGTGGTGGAGGAGGTATCCCCATTTTACAGAGGAGGAAACTGAGGCATGGATGGGGTTCGGTGGCCACACGGCTAGTAAGCAGCAGAGCCGAACTGCCACCCAGCAGCCGGATCCTAAGCCTGCACTTTGTGACGGAGCCTAGTCCTCGTGTTGTGCTATGCGGGGCGTGTTTCCTGAAGCCCCCACGGGTCTCGGAGGGCCCTCCAGCCCTGCGCAGCTCTCTTGCACAGGCCTACGTGTGCCCTAGTGCCGCCCTGTCCAAACCGTCAACCCCCGAGGGCAAGTGCCCTGCCTTACCATGACTGTCCCCAGGCCTGGGCCAGGGTGAGCACATAGAAGCCCAGAGTGCAGGGCGGGCCCGGGAGTGGCCAGTCTGTCCTCTCCTCCACCTCAGGACTGCTGCCCAGCGCCACCCTCCCCTAGCCGGCCCCACACCCTGGAGCAGTGCCTGGAGCCAGGAGGGCAGCTGAGTGGAGCCGGGCCACCCGGACAAGCAAAGGGCTGCCTACCCCTGTCCTCCCTTCCTGCTCGGTGCGCTCCTCGTGTTCTCACGCAGAGCTCCAAGTGCCGCCTGTCTGCGGCCATAGTCTGTCCCTTCTGCGAGGCCCAGCTCTGGGCTGACATGGCCCCTCTCCGCTGCCCAGAGTGACCGCAGGGTGCCCATCTGGTGGTCTTTTGAGGTCCTCTCCTGCCCGTGGGTTCTGTGTCTGCCTGGATTTGGGGTGTTCAGAGGGAACCAAGCCCCAAACCGGTACGCACCTTCCCCAGCTTCCCAGGCCCAGGCTTCACAAGGCCAGTCCTGTGTCTGCTTGTAACCCTGGCAAGGGAATCATGGAGTTTGTTTCCGAGGCACAGAAGGGCTCTGGAAATCAGTGGAGGCAGAGAGAAGTGGGAGATGTGTTCTACGTACGGGGTGCTGTGTACCCCACCCCAATGGCAGGTGTGCGGGGCCAGCCCAAGCCCTGCCTCCTTCACGGGGCGCCCCCACCTGTCCCCAACCCAGGAGACACTCACAGCTGGAAGGCTGGCATTCCTCTCCCCACCTCCCCCACATCCAGCCACGGTGAGCTCTAGTGGAGGAAACATCGCTCTCAGCCAAATATGAATGCATTAGTCTGATCACACATGCTTTTTGCACACACCTGCAAAAACACACCAGCCTACATACATGTGCAAGGAAACACACATGCTCTGTATGCATGCAGCAGGCATGTGCACACATACGCACTGACGTGCAGCCCTACACATACAGAGTCTGCACAGACACACGTCCACCTCCACACGTGCGCGTGCCCAGGCAGTGCACAGAGCCCACAGCGGGTACGGACAGTCACCATAACAGCAGTCTGGGCTCTGAACTAGGTACTGCATTGACATGCCTTGTGTCTCTGAATCCTCATAACAACTAAATGAGGTAGACACTGTCATGCCCATTTAACAGATGAGCAAAATGAGACACAAGTATAGTCAACACTAAGGTATTGTGTAACTCACAATAGCTAGAAGAGAGACTTTATATGTCCCCACCACAAAGGGCTGACAAATGTTTGGGGGACGGGTATGCTAATCACCCTGATTTGATCATTACACTATGTATATGTGTATCAAAACATCATAGTATACCCCATAAATATGTACAATTATTGTGTGCTGATTTAAATTTTTTTTAAAATGAGATGCAAGCAAATGAGCAGCATCAAGCTAGAGCACTGTGTGAGTCCCTTCCCTCTGGACACTGTCCTAGCCCAGCAGGCCCAGCTCAGACGGGCCAGGGCAGCCTGGTGGTGTTTCCCCCTTGAACGCAGCCACCCGTTCCTCAATGGCAGCAGCCAGTGAGTGACCTGCTGTGCAGAGTCTGACCTAGACGGGGCGGGCGGGGAGGGGTTGATGGGGGCGGAGCTGTCTCTTTACCCTCCTGGCCTGGAGGGCGGTGGACTAGAGCCCAGAAAAGTCCCTCACGGCCCTGCCAGGACTCAGCCCGCAACCTGCTCACTGTTTTTCTGGATTACAAAGTCATGCGAGGCCCCGAAACCCCCATTTGCTGGCTCCAAGAGTCCTTTCCAGTCCTTCTGACGGAAAGACAGCGGTCACTCAGAGACCCTGAAGCCAGAGACCGGAGCGTCGCTGCCTCCGCTTTGGGTAGAAAAAGCACAGGCTTTGGAGTCAGCTCCAAATCCCAGCTCCGCGCCGCTTTCCGGGGTCTGAGCTAGTCACTTGCCATCTCTGGGCCTCGGCATCCCACCTGTACAGGGGTACAGGCCCCGTCGCGTCGGTGCAGAGGGAACGAGGAAGCACGTGTGTGAGCACCTGCCCGCCCTGCCCACAACCTGGCGCGCCAGGAACCCGTGCTCCAGCCTTCAGTGGGGGCTGGGGGGGCGGCCCCTGGGGGCAGGCCGGGCGAGGGTGGCTCCAGACCTGGTCTCCGCCCTGCCTAACTGCCCTGGTGGTGTCCTTCGCCCGCCCCAGGAGGACTCGGACGGCAGCATCGAGTGCGTGAACGAGGAGCGGAGGCTGCACAGGAAAGTCTGCAACGTCAGCTACCCCTTCTTCCGGGCCAAGGCCAAGGTTGAGGCTGGGGCAGTGGGGAGGGACCGGGGTGGGCCCTGAGGGGCACGGGGAGGCGAGAGCGACTGGGAAGCGAACAGGGAAGACGAGGGAAGGGCGGAGAGGCCTGAGGTGGCTTTTACCTTCGAAGTGACTTTCCAGTGGCCTAATTAGCCAGCCGCCCCCAGGCTGGCAGCCCACCCGAGAGCACTCAGCCCCTTCGTCTTGGAGGGAATCCCTACCACTCCCACCCCACCACTCTCCCAGCCCTCCTGGCCAATCCCACCGTCCTTCCTCCTCGCGGTCTCAGATCCTGCCGCTGCCTTGTGCCATGTGGGGACAGGGTGGGAGAGAAACTACCACCTCTCGAGCACCTGGCGACCGTGTGCTCCAAAGCACACGTGGAGAGAGGGTCAGTGCGTGAGGGAGAAGGAAGGTAGCTGGGAAAGGGCAGGAGTCACCAGCCCACGGGGGTGCTTGGTCATCAGCCGTGGGCAGTGGCAGCCACAGAAGGTGCTGGAGCAGGAGGAGGCCGGGCTGCTTGTACGCGGGAATCAGAGACAGGAGCTCGGGGCGGGAGCCTGCTGGATACAGTGTGTTCCCAGGAGCAGGGCGTGCAAGGCTGGGGAAGAGGAAGAAATGCGGGTGCAGTTAGGGCTCGTTGGAAAAGAACCGCCCCAGTGAGATATAAGTCGAGGGTGTGGTTTCCGGGTGGAGGCACCAACAAACCCAGGAGCTCTGGAGGGAGGACTGGCGGGGGCGGAGCAGGACACAGCGCGGGCTCCCCCCATGCCCCGCCGCTCCCTGGGAGAATGGGGCTCCTGCGGCCTCACGGGGGTCGGACCTGGGGGCAGCAGAAGGGGTCTGTGCAGAACCCCAATAATGCTGGAGGGGCGGGAAGGAGGTGAGGAGGGTCACAGGTGATAAGGCCACAGTCAGGGGCCCCGCCCCACATTGCACAAAGGGCAAGGGGAGTGCAGGACCCTGGTCAGCATGTGGCCGTGCAGGCTTCACCCCTCCTGGGCCTTCCCCTCCTCCCCCACCACAAGAGCAAGGGCAGGTGTGGCCGTCCCACCACTCACTTCTGGCCCCACGTCCAGTGGGGCATGGTGATGGCCATCTCCCCTCCTTGCCACCAAGGCCCCCACCCCAGAAATCTTGCGTCGAGAGCTGGATTTGCTGCCTTCTAGCTGCTTTCATTAAAAGCAGAAGAGGAGGAGGAGGGAGGGTCTGGCTCCTCCGTTGTCTCTGGCTGCATCCCCTCAGCCGCCCCCAGCCCAGCTCACGCTCTCCAGCACCTGGTCCCCCCCACCTCCCAGCACCCACTCCCAGCCAGCAGCCCCCTCCCCAGCAAGCCTGCAGGGGAGTGTGGGGGGCAGGCCAGGGCTGCTCCGGGCAAGGCCCAGACACGCAACCACTTCCTTGCAGGTGGCCTTCCGTCTAGATTTCGAGTTCAGCAAATCCGTCTTCCTGCACCACCTGGAGATCCAGCTCGCTGCAGGCAGGTCAGGGCCTGCCTGCTCCTTGTGCCCCAAGCTCTCTCCTCCTCAGCCCTGCTTTCTCTCGTCTTGCCACTAGCAGCTGACCCTCCCCACACTGAATCCCACCACCGAGCCCTGTCCCTCACTGCCCCAGCTGGGAGCCCAGGGTCAGCCGCAAGTGAGGGCCAGCCTGCTGCCACCTGTGTTGCCACCTTCCTCATTCTTTGGATGTAAATAATAATGCCAGACCCTTACCTTTATACAGCACTGTATATAGCAGTTATTTTAAACCACTTGTAAAGCACTGTCCGTATATCACAGTCAGTCCTCACAGCAGCCCTTAACAATCAGCAAAGCAGGGGTTGTTGCCCTCCCCATCCTCCAAGTTATAGGTAAGAAAATGAAAGCTCAGAGAGGTTGAGTGAATTTCCCAATGACACACAGCATGGAAATAGTACAACCGGAAGCCGAACACTAGTTGTCCTACACCTCTTCCAGTGCTCTTCCTGTTCTGGTCACCCCTCTCCTCTTGGAAGTTTTTCCATTTTTAAGAGAACTTTTCTTGCTCTGTGTGTGGTCTTTCTGTCTTTCTCCCTCCCAGGCCTCCCCGAGGTGGCTTGCTATGTGTTGACACCGTGAATCACCCCGCGTCAGTAGTAAACACACTTTTTTCACAGAGTTACTTCTGTGTGGGGAAAGAGGGAGGGGTCCCAACATCTCTGGAGCCTTATAAATGGCCAAACTCCTTAGCTGAGAAATAAATAGTCCAGGCAAAGCAAACACCAACATTCCAGCACGCACAGGTCGGAGGTGCCGGGAGAGCTGGGCACCCACACGCCAGCCTGTGCTCACTTCCCCGCGGCAGCTCTGGTAGAATCCGCACTCGCCGTGCGACAAAGTCTGCAGGGCCTCCCTTGCGCTCATCCCTGCTCTTAGAAAACACAGTCTCGTCCTCACAGGAACTGAATGCTCTTGCTTGGTTGTGTCTTTGGCGCAGCTGTGGGTGTTTGTGGATTAGGGAGGGGACTTTGGGGGGATGTCTGTGTGTATCGGGGATCTCTTGTCTAACTCACACCTATCCTGGGTCAGGCTTCCAAAGGGAATACAACCTGGTGCACATAACAAGCAGGAATCATACATTTTTATGTCTAAAATTATTTGCCCTGGTAGCGCAGGGTTTTCCGGTGCAAAGGGAGACACATTTGACAAATCTCTCCCCACGTGTCCGCATTTCACCCTCCAGAATTCTCCTGGCTGCAAAGCGCCCTCAGCAGCCCTGTAGGAGCTGCCCCCAGTCCATTCAGGGATAAACGAACTACCCGACTGTCAACGCCTGGGCATCCCTCCCCCGCTGGGCAGAGCGAGCGGGCAGCCTTCCCTGAAGGTGTCATCTCCCACAGCCCCCCCCGAGAGTCTGGCAGGCAGCCCAGGATTGACCCACCCAGCAAATGGGGGCTCTGAGCGCGGGGTCACACAGGCAGGCTGTGGCGAGGCCAGGCACGGGCCTCCCAGCTCCCGCCAAGCCCTTTCCTGACCCCACACCAGCCCAGGTGGGCCGCACCTGAGAAGGCAGCAGGAAAGCCGATGTCATCTGTTCCCCGCTCCCAGCCCTTCCTCTCCTGGGAGATGCCTCAGGCTCCCTCGCCAGCCGTCTAGCATGACCAGCCCCAAGGAAGCAGCGTGTTCCTTCTTCCTTCTGCCTCACACCCTCCCGCTGCATGTGCTGGCTGGGCAGGCTCCTTCCTGACCGTGCTGCCTGACTCTCCTTGCAGTGACAGTGACGAGCAGGACAGCACCAAGGAAGACAATACGGCCCTCCTGCGCTTCCACCTCAAATACGAGGCTGATGTCCTCTTCACCAGGTAGGTGGGCTCGGGGGGCCCAGGTGAGGAGAACCGTGGGAGGACTGAGGCCTGGCCCCAGCACTGAGGACAACGAGATGGAGACAAGTGTGTCTCTGGTGGGTCAGAGAGTGCAGCCCCCGTCCATGGTGGGGAGGGGGTACCAAGGAGAGGGAGGAGGAGACACGGGCCTGGTCCCCAAGGGAGCTCCCAGCAGGGGTGAGAGGGGAGGGAAGGGGAGCAGGAGGTATCCCCCCAACCCCAGCATAGGCATGGAGGGTGCATGGTTCTGTAGAGAATTTGAAAATAGGAATAAGACCTACTGCAAGCCAGTCTGCTTTTGACCGTCCCCTTGCACCGGCAATCCTAAACAATGTAGCGAGAAGAGACTTCCCTGCCGGGCAGACCGCTCCCGCCTTCCACCCCCTTGGCATGCTGCTGGCCCCAGTCTGATGGGGGAAGCGGGCCCTGTCCTTCCAAAGCTCACAGACACACGGAGAAGTCAGGACATAAGAGCAAACACAGAGAGGAAGGTCAGGTCCTCCCACAGCAGCCGCCCCTAGAGGCCGGAAGGGGCACAGAGGGTGAGGTCGTGCTGAGAAGAGGCTGGGCCCCAGACAGAGGGACTAGGATAGGGATGGCTGATAATCGGCTCTTCACCCTCACACGAGGCAGACACTGCTGACTGATGGCAGCATTTATTCCTGCTGGACCTCAGAATCCTTCCCAACACAGCACTCCCAATGGACACAGGAGGAAACCCGTTTTTTGTGGTCTAGAGGGCGGCGGGCATATGCCCACACCCCCGGTCATTCATTTATCCATCCAGCCAACGCTGACTGAGCTCGCGGCGGCCCTGTCCTCTGTCTCTGCAGGAGCAGCAGCCTGAGCCACTACGAGGTCAAGCCCAACAGCTCCCTGGAGAGGTACGATGGCCTGGGGCCTCCCTTCAGCTGTATTTTCAAGGTAAGTGTGGAGGGGAGCCAGGGCAGAGAGTGAAGGACAGGAGCTGGGGACCCCCACTGGGGAGGGGAGGAATCTGGAATCATCACTTTGCCTAGAGTACAGCCTTGACTCTGCCACCCACTCCCTGTGTGACTTTAGGCAAGTCACTTCCCCTCTCTGGGCTTCTCAGTCCTCATCTGAAAAACAACCAGACTGGACTAGGGGGATGCAACAGTGAAGATAAGGTGTGGCTGCTGAAATTTTTTAAAATATTAAAAAACAGTAGTTTAAACACATCAGGGTTCGTTCTCTCCTGTAAAAGAAGTCCAGAGTTGCCAAGTTACAGAGCCATCCAGGATGGGGTCTTTTGTTCCACCATCAGCAGCATGAAATCACTGGCCTCCAGCTCACCTCACAGTCCAAAACGGCTGCAGCTCCAGCCATTGCATTCTCATCCCAGGCAGCCAGAAGGAGGAAGGGGAGAAGAGCATGCCCCCTTCCTATTAAGGAACCTCCCTGGCAGCTCCTCACACTTCCAGTTACCTCTCATTATCCAAAACACTGCGACTGAGCTGGAAGGGAGACTGGGGAATGTGGTTTTTTGTCTCAGTTCTGTCACTAAGGAAGGAGGGAGAGTGAGAATCAGCATGCCCCCCACCCCTGAATTGCTGTAAGTTTATCAACTTCTCCTATAGCTGCCTGAGAGCTGAGGGCAGGCGGACAGCTAGAAACTGGACTTCAGACACTGAGCCCTTCGTGGCTCCAAGAGAGGTTTAGTAACCTGCCCGAGGCCACACAGCTCACCCGTGGCAGCAGGCCCAGGGTTAGATTCCGCATCTTTCTGGTTCCAAAGCCCTGTATAATCTGTGCTGCTCTGGCACGGAATGTGTCACGGCTGGCATAGGAACTGTCACACACTCGCCATTTGTATCCTTCATTGATTAATGATTCTCTCTCCTGACACATAACTGCCGTCACCATGTCCACCCCGGCCCCGACAGAATCCCCCTCAGCCAAGAGCAGTTGAAATGGAAGTGCCCCGGCTCTCTGCCCTGTCCTCGCCTCAGTAGCCCGTCCCCTTTCAGGGCTCGCGCTTTCATGCACAGCCCCCAGCCGTGATCTGGCCGAGCCAAATCCACAGCGAAAACACCAGGCCTTGAGTGGGCCCGGTCCCCAGGCCTGGCTGGGGCAATGGCCACACCAAGGGGCTGGTTGGTCCCTGTGGACCTTGTTCTTCACCCGCCTCTGACAGCCGTTGTGTGTACTGATGCCTCCCCCTGCCCTGCATACAGATCCAGAACTTGGGCTTGTTCCCCATCCATGGGATGACGATGAAGATCACCGTTCCCATTGCCACCAGGGGTGGCAACCGCCTGCTGATGCTGAGGGACTTCCTCACTGACCAGGTACCAATGCCCTTGGTAGCTGGCCCAGGGGAGGGTACCAAAAGGAGACAGACATAACCCCCAGGTGTGTCCTCAAGTCCCCAGACTCCAGTTCCTTTCTCCCAGGACCAGGACTACTGCGCCTTCTCTGGGAAGAGGAGAAAAGAAACATCTCTAGAAGCCTGAGCCTGCTGGAGCTGGTTGTGAAGTCGTATGTGTGTGTGTGTGTCCCCTCTGCAGGTGAACACGTCCTGTAACATCTGGGGGAACAGCACTGAGTACCGGCCCACCCCAACGGAGGAAGACTTGAGTCGTGCCCCACAACTGGTGAGTGTCCCCCAAACCAGGAGCCCTGGGGCACAGAGTAGAGGAGTAACACTTGCACTCGGGAGCCATCTCTCTCCTCATCCGATAGTTTGTCAATGAGAGATATTGAGCACCAATATGTGCCAGCCTCAAAGCAAGTACAAATAGAATGAGGAAAAGATGCTTCTCGCCCTGTATGCGCCCTCCACCGTCTCGCAGGAGCTGGGGCAGAGAGACACACAGAGTGGGTGCGGAAAAGCCAGGCCACAGCCTGGGGCACATTGGGAGAACCAGCAGAAAGGGATGGGGATAGTGGACCTGCACCTGGGCTAAAAAGGCCAGGTGGATACAGATAGGCAGAGGTAAGGGGTAGAAACCAAATGGAGGCGGGACACACATGGCTTGCACTAGAGACGTTTGACCATGTCCACTGGGGCTCCTGCCTCTGGAGATGGAACGCAGCTCAGCTTCAACTCCCAAAGCCCTCCCAAGACATCTGCTAGTTTCCAGGTTGATGTTCTCCCAAGGTTGCCTCTGCCTCTAGATGCCAATTTCCCAGCATGCTTTCACTATTCTTTACCCAGACAAAAATCCTAGCTGCTTTAATTTTACAGAACAAGTACCTCATGCATAGCACTTTTTGAGTGTAGCACACTTAATCAAAGATTTGGGCATGGTTGGGGTTGGGGTTGGGGTTGGGGAGGCAGGAAGATAGCAATACAAATAACTTTAACCTAATCAACACTAATTGTTCGAAGATTTCTTTGGGTTTTCTATTAATGTTAGTTTTTTCCATTCCATCTTTATAAATTGTTTTTCTTGTCATATTGCTCTGGCTAGGACCTCCAGGGCAATGGTAAATAGATGTGATAACAGATCATCAGGATCATCTGGATCCTGAATTTAAAAGAACCTTTTAAAATTTTTTATTATTAAATATCATACTTGCTGTAGGATACCCTTTAATCAGATTCAAGAAGTTCCCTGGGAGTTTTTATCATGAACAGAAGTTGGATGTCCTAAAATACTTTTTCTGCAACCGTTGCAGTGATCACATCATTTTTTTCTTTTAATGTTTATATGGCAGTGACATTTATAGATTCCCTAATGTTGAACCCAGGTTCTGTTCCTGGAATATGCCCAGCCTGGTCATTATGCACTTCAAATGGAGCATCAGATATACCATCCTTAATTTGTCTTCCAGTCAAATTCCCCTGCTAGCTCCAGCCCATGAGTCCCCCAACTCCCAGGAGCAAAGCCCCAGGCAGTCAAGCGGTGCAGCTGAGCCATCTCCCTGGTGGTCCAAGCCCCCGCTCACGTTCTCAGGTCATCGCCAGGCTGGCTGCCTCCCCCTGGTCCCCACAACCCAGCTGCTCAGCCCCAAGACTCATCTTCCCTTTCAGAATCACAGCAACTCGGATGTAGTCTCCATCAACTGCAACGTGAGGCTGGCCCCCAACCAGGAAATCAATTTCCATCTGCTGGGGAACCTGTGGCTGAGGTCCCTAAAAGCAGTAAGTAAGAGGCCCTGGGCTAGGCTGGAAGGAAGAAAGGGAAGGGGGTGGCTTCTGGGAAGTCTTCCGCCTGGGGCTGCCAGGGGAGGGGGCAGGAAAGAATCTTCCAGAGCCAGCTTCTGATGAGGACTCTTATTGTACAGCTCAAGTTCAAGTCCATGAAAATCATTGTCCATGCGGCCTTGCAGAGGCAGTTCCATAGTCCCTTCATCTTCCGCGAGGAGGATCCCAGCCGCCAGGTGAGCCCCTGGGAGCCCTGCAGACCTGGCTTGGGCCTGGCCAGCTTGGAAAGGGTTGCCCCCTCCCCTAGAGTTTTCCTACAACCCCTGCCCGTGTGTTCAGGCAGGTGAGAATCAGGCAGACCTGCCGGCAGTTAGGGCAGCAAGGCAAATAGGGCTTTGGGGGCAACACGGGGGTGGGCCACAGAAGCAGGCATTTGCCTGTGCTTGAGGCACCAGGCTCTGTGCTCTCTGCACCACAACTGCCCCGTGGGACGGGGAGGAGAGGAAACCCAGGTATTTTACACTAGAGGAACCTGAAACTGCAGCACAGGCCCATCTGCTCAGGAGTGCTCCCTGACTGCCGCCCGCAGCAGTGAGGCTGTGTCCTGAGCAGACTGGTGGCCTGAAACCAGCATCCACCCCTCTCCTCTCTGTGCATCCACACCTCAGATCTAGTGAACTGCAAATGACACAGGCTTTAGAGGACTGGTGTGAACTGACTTTGCAAAGACCAAAGGATGTCTGTGTACTGGGGCTCTGTTCACTGGGTAAAACCAGACCGTTACAGAGTACACCCGCTTAAATCAGGGACCAGGAAAGGGGTGAGGCTCTGCGAGATGCTCTCCTGGGACAACAGGAAGTTGGGTCTTAGAGAGAAGCCCAATCCTGTGAAAACAGACGGACGGCCGGGCATGGGACGCTGCTGCCCTCCACTGGCCACATCCCAGAGACTCCAGCCCCGGCTCAAGGCAAGCCGTCCTGCTTCCGAGGCCCGGTGAATTCCCACCCCACCCCCAGGGAGTCTCGAGAGCAAAGCGGGCAAGGTCGGACGCAGCCCTTGACCAAAAAGGCTGGGGAGATGCCAGGCAGAGGGGTAGTGGGTGCAAAAGCCTAGAAGCAGCTCAGGGGACCCACCTAAAAAGCATTTTTTGTTTGTTCATTCATTTGGTGGCCCCACAGAGGAGAGATGAATTAGGCAGACAGGAAAACAATGACGAGTTATGGTGATGTGAGCACAGGGGAGAGCCAGGCCCTGGGGGAGGGGCTGTCGGGGAGAGCTTTCTGGAGATAGTCCTTTCCAACGGAATCCTGAAAGATTCCTTGGAATTTTCCAGGCATCCAAGAGAGGGGAGGTGTGGTACAGGCACGGGCCAGCACACACGCAGACCACCCCTAGCCCCGCACTGCCGTGTGTCTGTTAGTGAATTCTTCCCCTTCCACCCCCACCCCCAGTCCCTCTTATACTCTCGGGGTGCCTCACTTCCCTTTCAGAAACCCGACAACCCCAAAATTAAGCCCCTGTGTGCTGGACGCTGTGCCCGGTGCCAGGGCTGGGGAGGCGGCGCAGGCCCCCAGCCGTCAGGGGTAGAAAGAGCACGTGCGAGGGACCTGCCATTCACTCAGCCCTGCCCACGCGCGAGCACTGTGCCAGGCCGTGTGGTCTCACTCACTCCGGCAGCACTGCCAGGTGCATCCCACCGCCCCCCACTTTCAGGTCTGGGAGGTGCGGCCGGGAGGCAGCGCAGGAGGGGGCCGTGAGCTTCCTGGAGCTGGTAGCGAGTCAGTGGCCAAAGCAGGGCTCGATGCGCTGCTGCGGGGCTTCCTCCGTTCAGCACGCTCGCTGAGCTCCAGCTACGCTCCAGGCGCAGTGAACGCGACAGATAAAGCTCCTGCTCCCCCGCAGCTGACGCTCCAGGAGGGAAGGCAGCGAACACAAATATCTACCTTATCAACTGGTGACAGAGACCACCCAGAAGAGCGCTCATACAGAAGGGTGGAGAGATACAGGGAGGGTGGGGAAAGCCTCTCCAGTAAAGGGACATCAGACCGAGGCTGTGAGGGGCGCAGGAGTGTCGCGTGGCCATCTGCAGGCGGAGGGACCGCAGCGCCCAGGCCCCGCAGCAGGCACGGCCGTTGGAGGCGCGGGGTGGGGACCGAGCAGAGCGCAGGGGAGAGGAAGATGAGGCCAGCGAGGTCCGTGGAGCCGGGAGTGCAGGGCCCAGCAGGCCGGGGGCAAGGACTCCACTTTTTACTCTGCGCGCGAGGGGGAGACAGGGCGCTGAGCCGAGCAGAGACCAGGTCTGAGGATCCCTCCAGCTGCGGTGCTGAGGACAGGCTGCAGGGGCGCGGCAGAGAGGGAGGCAGAGCGGGAGGCAGCTGGGCAGCCCTGGCGGCCCCAGGGGAGAGGACGGTGCTCAGGCCCGGCAAGCGGGGGTGGGGGAGGAGGAGCGGCCACGGCCCGGGTGCGTTGAAGGGAGAGTGGACACACTGCTGACAGATTCCATATGGCGGCGAAAGGACGGGCCAGCGAGAACCTGTGGTTTCTGGCCTGAGCAGCAGCGCGGAGGGACGGTGCCAGTGCCGCCATGTGCTCCGCTGAGAAAGCTGCGGCGGGAGCAGGGCCGGGGCGAGGGGGGCGCTCAGGAGTTTGGTGCGGGGCTTGGTACAGTCGCAGGCAGGCGAGGAGACGGTCCGTGTGCGTCTGGAAGGCAGAAAGGCGGGAGTGGTCGGCGTGCGGCTGGCGAAAGCCACCGGGCCGAGTCCCCGCCGGGCTGCTGCAGGACCCTCGCGGCCTCAGCCACTCTTGCCTTCGGGACCCCTTGCTCCATAGAAAACTATTAAAAATTATGTTTTATAACTGTGCTGGTATAAAAACAAATGAATGTTGATTATATTCAGCTTTTTCTTCTAATTTTAAAAGAAATGTCAACATTTTCAAGGGCCCCTAAGAGTGCTGCGGGCCCTAGGCACCCGCCTGCTGTGACTCGTGGGTAACCCAGCCCTGAGTCCACCAGGGAGTGGCTGTAAGACAAGAGGAGGTCCAAGGACTGAACCGTGGGGCACACCAACATTTAGAAGTCTGGGAGACGACGGGAAGCAGCACAGAAGAGAGAAAGAGTAGCCTGTGTGGCAGGAGGAGAATCGGGGAGAGCCGATGCCCCAGGCCACAAGCAGAGTGTCTGGAGGAGGCAGGACCACCTGGGGCGCTCAGCTCAGGCGTCCACTGCGCCTGCACAGCTGGTTGCCCCGCGGCCTCAGCTGGCTTGTGCCACCCATCCCTCTGGCCTCCCCCTGAGGAAGGGGGTGCCGTTCTCCCACTGCCACTGCTGTTCCCTGCCCGGCCCCACAACAGTAACGCTGTTGGCCTGGCTCCACCCCCTTTGCAGGTCACGTTTGAGGTCTCCAAGCAGGAAGACTCACAGATCCCCATCTGGATCATCGTGGGCAGCACACTGGGAGGCCTCCTGCTGCTGGCCCTGCTGGTCCTGGCGCTGTGGAAGGTGAGGGCCTGCAGGGCAGGGAGAGTGCAGCAGCCTGGCTGGCTGCCCCAGGCGTGGGGCTCCAGCCTCTGGGATCTGTGGTCACTGTCATGTTCTCTCCGTGGGAGCTGCACCCACCCAGCCTCCTCCCAGAATTGCAGGCTGCCGCAGCACCCGGCCCTCACCACAGAGGGCACTCACACTATGGCTCTGACCCTTTTGTTCCCTTTGGGAACCTGATGAAAACTGAGCTTCTCTTACCAGAAAAAGAAAAAAAAAAAGCAAGTACACACAACTGCAGGAAATTTCTTCAACAATATCAGGCTGCTAACAAACCTCTCAAATCCCTTCTCTGTCTCTGAACCCCTGGTTAAGAACTGCTGGTCTCAACCTCCTCCTGGTATGATGAAGTAACGGAGGCCCAGAGAGGGATATTGGCTGGTACAGGGTCACACAGCAAGATGGTGGGAGCCAGCATCACTTCTTGCCTTTTTCCCAGAGCTCCATCCACTCTGTTCCAGACCATAGAGGGCATTCTGGGGGTAGGGGTGCCCAGAGTGAGCTGGGGCATTCAGGGAAGCCCACTGAGGGAGGAGGGGTAGTGGAGGGACATACGGAGGGGGCGGGCCTTGTCCCTCCTACCTGCCCCTGACACTTCTCCCTTTGCCTCCCCACAGCTCGGCTTCTTTAAAAGTGCCAAGCGCAGGAGGGAGCCTGGCCTGGACCCCACCCCCAAAGTGCTGGAGTGAGGCTCCAGAGGAGGCTTCAAGTTGATGGGGGCCAGGACACCAGTCCGGGCGGTGTGCAGGCCCAGGCCCAGGCCCCACGGAGCTGGAGCAGAGAGGATGCCAGCTGGCTTTGCACTTGACCTCATCTCCTGAGCAGTGGCGCCTGCTCCTTCTAGGATGGAACTCAAGCCAGCTTTAAGAGGAACCGCGCTACCGGGAGGCTGGGACACACACCAACACAGATCCCTAGGGATTTAAAGGGACCTCCCTCCCCAGGCCCACCCCAAGGCCTCCCCCAGGCTCTGTGGGGGGCATCTGTTGCCCCAGCCACTAAGGTGCTAGGAATTCCTACTCATCCCAATCCTCCGAAGAAACGCAGGGAGGAAGACTGTAAATACAAACCGACTCGGCACACACTCCAGGCCTCTAGTTCCAAAAGGACCCATGGGACAGCAGAGCTGAATTCTGCCACGTCCTGCCACCCCACCATTGGTTCCCAAGTCACACTTGCCCCTGCCCACGGATAGGCCCCGGGGCTCCCCATGAATGAACCTGAGCCCTAGGGCTTGATGGCAACAGCGGTGGGCCAGGGATGAAGAAAGACTCTGGGATGCGGAGACTGTGAGGGCCGGGCAGGTGGGACTCAGGACACTGGCACCGCCCTGCGAAAGAGGCAGCCGGGCGCTCCACCCACGCGCAGCCACACTGACCGCCACCCACGTACTCCCTCACGGGCTCGCAACCGCCTGTGCTCCCGGCCACCACCCGTCCCGGGCTCATTTTGATCCTTAGTACCTCATGCAAAGCGCGTGGATGACACAACCCTGGGGCTCCCCGCTTCCACTTCTCTCCCACTGCGGCAGATACGCCAGCCTGGCTGCGGCCGGGCAGCAGGGGCAGGGCTGGGGAGCCTCCCCCCGCACCCGCTCCCTACACACACACACACACTGCCTCCCATCCCTCGTGCCCACCAGTGCGCGGCAGAAGGGCCCAGCCGGTGCCGTTGAGGGGTCCTCTCTGGAATGCACTGAATAAAGCCCGTGCAAGGACCCCTGGAGCCTGCGCAGCCTCAGTGACAAGTATCTCGTCCACCAGCCCACGGGACAAGTGGCATGACCAATGACGGTGCCCCGAGGACAAGGGGCACGCCTGGTGCCCAGCGGAGTAATTTATGCCTTAACCTTGTTTTGAGGTAGAAATGAAAGGGGTACAAATCAAAGGCACATGTCCCCCTGTGCATAGTACGACCTTCACTGTCGTAAATATTTTTAAGAAATTTTTTAAAAATACAGTGTTTAAAAACAACCAAGGCGCTGACATCCCATTCTGTGGGCAGAGTGTCGCAATGAGCCATGCTCTTCCTTGAAGAGGAGGAGGCGGATGAGGGGCTCTCTGCTTCCTTCCTAGCATCTCTAAATGTTGGGAAGGGATTTGCACCCTCCAACATGCCCTCCAACTGGCTGCCTGGCCTCCGTGCGACATCTCCGCTGGTGGAGCACTCTCGCCCCCCGAAGGTCGCCCATTCCATTTTTTGCCATTGTGCACGGTTAGGACCCAAATGTTTCACTGTAGCTTCTGCCCTTAGTTCCAGCTTGGCCCTCTCAGGCCTGACTTCCAGTTTCTTCTTAACACACAGGCTGCTCTTAAAACGAGGCATCTCTATTCTATTCTATTCTTGTGCCATTCACTTCTTGGAATCCCAGTAACTAGAACCTTAGGAAATATCTGATCTTGTTCCCACACAGATGAGGACACTCAGAACCAGAGAGAGAGCCCTAGGTCCCACAGCAAAACCCACACTAAACCCAGGACTGCTACCTCCCAAACTAGACTCTGTCATTTTAGGCCAGCATCACAAAGGCTTAATGAGGACCAAATAAAATCTGAATATCAAAACTAGCTTTCAGCTGGGCACAGTGGCACACACCTGTAGTCCCAGCTGCACGGGAGGATCACTTGAGCCCAGGAATTTGAGACCAGCCTGGGCAATGTTGTGAGACCGGTTTCAAAAAAAAAAAAAAAAATTTCCTTCTAACAGAATCAGTAGAAAATGTTAAATCATGTTCCATTTATCACCGTATGAATGGGGAACCCAGCTAAACGAGAATTAATGAGCCCACACTGAGAAGTGTATCATTGCATTTTGCACCACGTCTTCTGGTCAGACCCCATCAGATCTGAGAGAATGCTCTTAGGGAATACCTGATCTTTAGAGGTTGGCATTAATTTTTTTAGAAACTACCATGTATGATCACGCTGCAGGCCAAACAATGTTATCTGCAGGTCAGATGCAGCCCCAGGGCCACTGAACTGCACCCTCTGGACCCGCAGTCAGAGGCAGGCCCCGGGACTCCACAGTCCCTCCACAGCCTCCCCCAAGACCCACGAAATGGTCAAAAGGTATAGAAATTGATAGGCTTCTATCTTCCAGTGCTTTAGCCCTGGGGTTGTATCAGTCCTTTTTCTCCTCTTTTTTCTTATCAATTCTCACTTTCTGAATCTACTTAACTCTGGAGCGTCAATGTCCAAGACTAGCCTTAGGAGTGCCTGGCAGGGCAAACAGAGAAGATGCATCTTACGGGGAGCAAAGCCTCAGGCTAAAGCAGTGTTTCGCAGTCCTGGCTGCCATGAGAATCACCTGGGAGCTCTAAAAGATCCTGATGCAAGGGCCCCAGCCCCCAGGGATCCACACTTCATTGGTTGGGAGAGGGGTCAAGTTTGTTTCAGACTTCCCCAGGGGATTCTAACGAGAGTTGAGCTCAACAGGAAAGTGAACAGATAGGCTAGAAAATGAAGAAACAAGGGGTTAACATGCACAGGTGACTTTCTATGAATACTGGGAACTGCGCTGTCCTCATCAGTGCCTGGAGTCTGGAAGGCCTTATTGCAGAAAGTCTTGGGGCGGGGGAGGGAAGGTAGATTTTGCCCAGTTTTCTAGGGTCCTCAGAACCCCAAGGGGGCTTTTGGAGGAATTGGGAACATTGGGTTTTATTTGGAATGGAAGTTGAACAGCAGTCTCCAAAGACAATTTTGGCATCGAGATGCAAGCAGCCCCAAATGCAACCTCAAATCAACATTAAAATCATACTGTGGTTCACTGACCGATGTTATTATTGTTAATAGAACATTGATGTTCTATCAGATAGTTAAGAACATGAAGGAGCTAAGGCTCTGTGTTAACAGGAAATATAACCAACTTCTAAATGCATTGTCCTTTAAAAGCATTATTGGTCTACCGTAGGCACCACGCGAAACAAACTTAAGTGCACTGGAGAAAAACATGTTTGGGGCAAGATCAGACTCTTGTAAACCAAATTACCATCAGAAGATGGTTTTAGAATTTGGTCCATGGACGGTCAGCATTTCTAAGTTCTGGGCTCACTGGATAGCAGAAGAGACAGACCTCCACAAGGAGTTGTGAGACGAGATGAGCAAGACATCCTGGGTGGCTTCACAGGTGATTCTGACATGGTGTGCCAGTAGACCCCTGCCCACATGAGCCCCGACCAATCAGCTGGGGGCAGGTCCTCAGAGAAGACACACAAGCTGCGGGGCAGATCTTGGGTAGATTCAATAGAGGCCTCTGTACAGGGTTCTGTGGAAAAGTGGGTGTCAATTAGGGCATCCCTCAGTTCCAGCCAGCTGAGAGCTAGAAGGGAAAAATCTAAGCACGAGTGCTGCTGCTTTCTGGGATTAGATGGCGTGGGCATGCAAGTTCGTAGGGCAAATTGGCCCTCATAAAGCAGAGCATCTAGCCAGAGCTGAGCTTCTCAAAGTGGGCTTCCAGGGCTGCTTCAATCAGAACAAACAGCTACATTCTACCTTAGACCTCACAGATCCAATTTCTACAAGGTAATTCTACACACTTCGAACATACAGAACCAGCAACGTACAGCCATGATATTCTGCTATTCCCTAATCTCCAACGTCAGCTTCTTAAACAGTCTGGGCTGTCTCAGCTGCCCTTCAGCTGCACTTGGGCCTATCTTGAGAGCAGCAATAATCAGCAAAAACCCCCAAGGGGTGTCTTTCTGGTGCAGACAGCAGAGTTTCTAGGTTTTACTTTTGTTAAGGAAGGTAGTGTTTCTTAACAAGGCAGGTATCCAGGTGGAAGGGGCAAAGTGCTAAAATGAACACAGAGAGAGAGTACGGAATAGCTCTGCCCAGGGAAATATGGAAGAGCTTCTCTGAGATGATGTTGACCTCTCCTTCCCTAGAGGTCTTTACAAGACAGATTGCTACCTCCATCGGTATTCAAGAGCTTTTAGCATCAGTACTCTCCCAGAATAAGACACTAGTCTTGAGTCAGTCGCTCTGGCTTCAAGCTCCAGGATGCCAAGCAGCCTATAATAGAAATAGCGGGCTTAATCATGTTCCTTTCCTGGCATAATGACTCACTGCAACCATGCCTCAACCCCAAAAAGAGATGGCCAGGTCTCTCCACTACCCAAATGTGCCTTGGGCACGAATACAGCCATTAGTAATGAATGGTCCTGTTTTCATTCAACACCACACTGGCCTTTGTTTTTACCTTCAGTTGACGTGGTGCCAGCCCTTTATTCTGCACTGCTTCTCACCATTATAAAAAAAAAAAATCCCCCAAATTATATTAGTATTAACATCAACTAGGTTTTCCTCAAAGGACAGTCAAGCTTAATCGGCCACATTAAAATCTGCAGAGTGCTTTTGTGTCACTGTCTATTCTAGTACCTTTTATATTATGCTAAAGTAGGACAGCATGTTCCAAAACAGAAACTGAAGCAGGAACAGAGCTTTGCTGGTTCAGCATGAAGAGAGAGTTAGAAGCCTTGCACCTGGGCGCTGAAACTTTTGTCTCAACTATACCTAGCAAATTCACCAGGTTCAAAGTAGAGTATGAGCAGAAAGGTATTTTTTTAAAAAGGAGATGGGGGTACCATTCCTTAATAGGTTCATCCTTTCTAATCTGTCTGTATGTTCCTTGTTCTTCCATCCCTGGCACTGCATTAAACAAGATGTGCAGCAACCCAATGATGTTTTCT